TCAAATCTAACAGTTAAAAAAGATGCAAGCTTTCACTTCAAAGGTGATCCGTTTCATGGGGATTTACAAAGAGACTTTCTTTATCTCACGAGAAAAAAATTGACTAATTGCAAGGTAGCTTTGAAAACTGATGGAATAGAACACACGTATCAGTAAGAGGGGACAGGGTGGGTCAGTAAGGAGTTGTGATGAAGACTTTGGCGTTCAATTAAGGAGATCTTTCTTCTTTTCCTTGATTAATTATGCTTAATCCATTATCATTACTATCATTTTGCTTTTAAAGCACCAAAAGCTCTCACACTCTCTCTCGTAGTTAGTAAGATTTGCAGATCTCTCTCAAAGCAAGAAAACCAATAGAGAAAAAATAAGACTTCAACGTCAATCACGCAAGCTTCCTAAAACAATTATTCATCGCTATCAACACGACAATGGGTGGGGCCAAAACCTTAAGTTTCGCAATAACACGACAAAAATTGATAAAATAACTTCAAATTTGAACAAAAATATCTTTTGATTAACTTCAGATTAAATATTCACATATTGGACGTTCTGACATGCCTTAGAAAGATCCGTTGAGTTTTAGTTCTATGAATGATAGAAAATAGCATTTAGAAAATTAACTGGCATTAGTTTTAGTAGAAGGAATTATAACTAATTAAGTACATGGTCTTTGGTTTGGAATTGTATAATCACACAAAACACTTGTGGAATGAGTGAATAACTATCTCTAATTAAATCCAACAATGATCGAATCTAATTTAATTAAATAATCACTGTAAAAAAAAACATTTAGAAAGCTTTCTCCCATTTGAAACCCAATGAGTTGAATTGCCCTGAAAAAGATCATGTCACTATCAATTCGTTCTAACTCATGTACTAATTGGTGAAAACTATTGGAGTGAAGAAACAATAGTTTTGCAGTGAATTTTTAACCATCATCATTGAATATGCGTCGCTATCTGTCTCTCCGTGTCATTTATAGAAGTGGCCTTTCAAACAGACCAACAGTGAGTGAGTACTGAGTGTGAAGTGTATGTAAGTATAATTAAAGGTGCCAGCCATGACCTGTCCTTGTTTTCATATGTAGCTTCTATATGGACATAGGATCATAAGCTGAGATGTTCCGTGCGTTAACTTCTATTGAAAAAGTTATAAGCCAAATGGTGACACTAGTCGTGGGAGGTAAGAGGTTGGGATAATGTGAAACATGCGTATCCAACGAGATCATATGACAGATGAATATGATGTTGACACATGAGTCATGTAAGTAGTGATATATATATATATATATAAGTACCAGGACGCCAGGACGGATTGATCTATCGGACTCTATACAATCCGTGATATTCTGTCCAGTCTAATTGCAGAAATCTCATGCCTCTATTTTAATTGGACCATATTACTGTTGAGACGTGAGACACGCCCCATAAACACTACAAACTTTAAAACGATGTTATTTCATTTGACACAATAGAGAATGTGGCAGAATAACAACTGTCAGATCAAAATGAACGAACAAGATCTTTTCATCACTGTATCAGACTGAAAACCTAGCTATTAACAGCAGTAATGGTTCCATTTATGTTGCAGCTTCTATTCTCATATCTGTGTGACTTTGAGAGAGAGAGAGAGATTTGTTGAGAAATAAAAGTTGCACTTTTAATTTCATTTTTTGTGTAGGAACAGTGGTGGGTCAGCAGCCAGGGAGGAAGTAGAATTCAACATACACAGACATGGGCTTGACGGTGGATCATTGGGTTTCGTTCCTGTATGAGTACGTTTCGGGGTTTCTGGAGAGAATATGATCAAAGCCACTTGTTCTGTCCCAATCTTAGCCAATTGTTAATGTCGCGGTAAAGAAAGATGGCACAGGCACAACTAACTTAGCATTTATAATGAAGAAGCATGTCTTACGTGTCAAAGAAGTCGTCGGTCAAACACTGATGAGCTGAGTTTGAATTAACCAATTATTAATTGCTATAAGAATACCCATATTATTTTGGCTGTGAATGTTTGGTTTTAAATCAATGAGCATATAAAGTTAGAATGGCAAAGACAAGGATATGTAGGCATTAAAAAAAAACAAAAGAAAAGATTCTCAATGAGCATATACCCCAAAAAAAAAATGTGGCATCTATTAAAAAGAATATGGTAGAACATTATTTAAAATAGTTTGAAAGTATAATAAAAGGCCATGAAATGTGCCAATAAGGAGATTGAAATAAATAAAAAAAGTTATTGAACAATACTTTTTTTTATTAATAATATACCCAAATTAAAGGTTTGATTAATAATGTTGATAGAGCACAATGATCTTATGTAATTTATGCGGTCAAATTTACCTACTTAGATAAGTCTTCTACTTGTTGTTGTTATAAATTGATAGCACAAGACCCATGTAATTAAAATGTTATATAGATATATGTCTGAAAATTTTGCCGAAGTGTTAATTCTTTGTTTTATCAAACGTTATTAGTTTTTTTTTTTGGTAAGTATCAAATATTATTGGTTGATCAAACATTAATTTGTCTTACGCAAAGTTGAATTAAGCAATATTTTAATTATCACACTAATGTTTCTACTTTTTCTAACCTAACTGCATCAATTAAAAGAAGCCTCCATTTCCTTTCTCTCCAATCCTTCTTCAGTACAGCTTGTTATTAATTGGTTGGAAAATCAAACTGTCTCTAATGAAAGCTTATAAGTGATGGGTCCGAATACACACACACACACACACACACACAGAATGAATATTATATATATTAAGCTTATTTAATGCATTTGGTTGGACAAACCTATCAAGTTTTCATTGCTTCAGAAGTTGCCCTATATAATAATACACTAGAAGGTTTTGTACGTATGTGAGGGAAACTGTGTGAAAGCAGAAAAAATAGTAAAGAAAAGATAGCAAGATACGATGCAGAGCCAATCACTTTACATGGACTTGAAGTTGGACCATGCTCTCATCACATGCATCACATTCTCAAATCGTCTTCATTTTCATAATATATAATGCTCGTTCATTTGATCTACTTTCTTGTGTTGTTTCTTTCCTCATCTCCTTATAATATATAATTAATAACTTGAAGTGTCTTGTTTTTTTTTCGTTTTTTTATAATATCAAGATGCTTATATATTTTGTCAAATAATTGGTCGAAGTTATGCCTTTTTGTAATTTGAAACATGAGTAAATATAGAGATGTTCTTAGAGACAACTTTGATCCTCTTGGGACCCTGTTGTTTTTCTAACTTTCCATATTTCACACACTTTCTTCTCATTGGATGTCCTCTTCCCTCTCTTTGCATTGTGCTTTTTTTTTTTATATGATTTATTTAACAATATACAAAATCAGCTCACTGGAGATTTAGCTTCAACTGATACGCATTGCGAGATTTAAAAAATATATAATTTATTTATAAAATTAATATTTGATATAAGATTTAAAATGTGTGATACAAATTCAGGTTCATGTCTTGGTCCTATTTATGAGTAATTAACTTGGAGGATGGATTTTTGTGTTGGAGTCATTATGGATTTAAATCCTCTACGATTGAGACTGCAATTTTTTGTGGAGTTTGCATTTTTAAAAATGAAAAATAATATTTTACATTTATTTAAAATAATAAAATGAAAAAAATACTAAAAGAGAAAAAATTTATAAAAATTCAAGATAATATCAGCTTTAGAGGAAGTGATATATTTAATATGGATAAAATAAAAAATTTCTTTAATTTGTACATAGAGTTAATAGATTTTAAAATTTCTTTTATTCTAATGAAAAATACTGGACTTATAATTGTAACTAGAAAGAGTAAAAAAATACTCTCATATCTTAAGCAAATAATTAGTACTTAAGAGTAGTTCTTGATTCACCTTTTACCGGCCTCCATATATATATATATATATATATCTCTTAAAACTTAAGAGAGATTTTTTGTTTAACACTCCCTCCCACCTCATTATAACACGCTTTCTTGGTAAAATTGTGAATACAAAAGGAAAAAAATTAATTAAATACTCTCTCCATCTCAAATTATAAGATAATTTTACCGAAATTTTTTATCCCAAAATTTAAGACAATTATTTTATTAATAATATTTTTTCAATATTACTCTTCAAATATAAAAAAAACTGAAATGATATTGTAACATACTCTCTTCCTTTTTGAAATATAAGAGAAAACAACCAACTCTTGATTATTAAGTGTAATAATTATGTCTAAAAATTCAAAAAATGGACTAAATTATTTCTGTAATTAATGAAATAAATTTGTTTATTCAAAATAAATATTGATTTTATGAGAGACAATTTAAAAAAATGTGATATATGCTTCTTAAAACTTGTAGTTTTGCTTATAAATAAAAATAATAGTTTATCTTATATTCAGAAATGGAGTAGAAATGATTAAGTGTGTAAAGGTCTTTTTAAAAGTTAATAGTTTTGTTATGAAAAAATAAATTTGTAAAGTGTTACTATTATATGTTTTATTAGCATGTGTAATTTTATATCAAATTATTTTATAATTTAAAAGGGAGAAAATATAATTTTTCAGCCAAAATGATGGAATAGATCTGGTTTAAAATTAATATTAATTTCTAAAAAATAAACTTTTAAAAATCTTCTTTATTTTGTAAGGGTGAGAGGGAGAGAACATTGAAGGAGTAAAATAATAAGCAACAATTTTTGAATAAATTACATTAATAAATCATTATTTTTCTGAAAACATTTTACATCAACAAGCATTAAATCACTCCAAAAAAGACAAATTATAAAATGAGATAGAGGGAGTTAATGTGGAAGTCTATTCTATAATTGAAAGCTTTTTTTTTTTTTTTTGCAAGAATTTAAAGCGTTTTTCAAAAGAATCAGCCCCACGTTGATAACCAATGGTATCACTTAATTTTGACACTGTTCTCAATATAAATAATACTACTGCAATTCATTTCCAAGGATCAGTCTTTGTTATTGCAAACAATTTTTCCCAAATCCCCCTGGATCCTTCCAATATAAATACACCCCAAAACATGCACCTACACCTTAATACTAGCCCATCATCGTCCCCACCATTAGTTCCCACTCTCTCTTCTTGTCCCAAAAAGTCTCACTCTTCTCCTTCCTATCATCTTCCTCGATCACATCCATGGAGGATCACCAAATTTTCTACCCATCCAAACCAACAAACCCTTTAAAGCTTTTCGGCTTCAGCGTCGTCCACGACCCCCACCTTCTCCAAGATGAAGACCCAGCAGTGCTTGCACACGATGTCTCTGACCCCATCTCCAAGCCCACTTCCCCATCCGCCTCACCCGATTCCGCCACATCTGCCGGCGCCGGCGCCTTCCCTGCTTCCTCAGCCGATAGGAAATACGAGTGTCAGTATTGTTGTCGCGAGTTCGCCAACTCGCAGGCCCTGGGCGGCCACCAGAACGCTCACAAGAAAGAGCGCCAGCAGCTGAAGCGGGCTCAGTTACAAGCCTCCCGAAACGCCGCCGTTTCGTTCGTTAGGAACCCAATAATCTCAGCCTTCGCTCCTCCGCCTCATTTGCTCGCTCCGGCGGGCCATGTCATGGTTCCGCCAGCTTCTCAGACGTCTTGGGTTTATGTTCCGCCGCGTTCCGCTCCTCCACCGTTCCACGTATCGGTATCACACGGGTGCATGTTCCCTTCGCCGACGAATAGTACCATCTGTAGTAGTAATAGTAATCAGGGTGCGAGATCGGCGGGCGGAGGGATGTTATCCTGTGGTAGCAGCGCAGGGGATGGCATGGGATCTCAAGTACATGGTAGGGCCCATGGACCATCTTTAAGTAGATTTTCAAAAGGGGATGCTGGCCCCAGCTTCGATGACCCATTGGGCTTGGACTTGCATCTAAGCCTTGCGCCAGCTGCGCCGTGATAATGATCGGCTCGGCTTGAGTGTGTGAGAGATTTAGCCAGCTCTATTATGAGGGATTGCTTAAATTTAAACGGCTTCTTGGTGAGCTTTAAGGAAATTATAAGGCTCACTTAACTTCTTGTACATTTTCAAATTTTATTTTTAAAATTTTTTAATGCAACTGGTTCCACTTTGTCCCCATATGTCATTCTCCACATAGAGTTATAGACTGATTTTCCCTTTTTTCTTTTGCAGCATCAATTATTCTATTTTCTTTACATTTAATTACTCACCATTTATGGGATTTTCCCCTCGAATCTTTTAATATACAATATAAAATCTATAACAAAAATCACATTATTTATTATGAATCTAATATATGTCATCTGGCTTTAGATAATTTCATTATCTAAGAATTAAGAAGTCTCTTGAAATATGGATTACACAAGAAGGAGCTTATAAATTAGGATTTCTATTTAGATCGGATTCAAAATAGATAGTAAACAATAACGTATATCATTGATACTAACTTTATCTAGAGTAACGCATTACATTGTTGAAGTACATATGAAGCAAATTATGACGAAGACCCACAATGTTTGGACATGTCGGACATGGGAAGTACAATGATAAGTGTGAAAATTTTGTGGGATTTGTAAGGAGTTTCTGCCGAAGTTTAGTAGAGTAGTCAATATGGTACAATTTTTGTATTCACATGATATGAATCACAATGACTGGTCTCTTTGAGGTGAGATTGAAGTAGAGAAATAAAGCATTTTCTAATTAACAAGTTTTAAATTAAAGTGCCTTTGATGCGCTTTGCTAATTAAGCATGCTTTCTTGCATTAATTGGTACTCTCTTTTGCTTTAATTCTTGTCCACTTTTTTTGACAACCAAAATTTACTGAGTCCTCCAATTCCGGCATCAATTAACCACCCATTTTGATCGTGCATGTCAAAACAAGTTTCTTGTGTTACCAAACATAATTATAATAATATGATTAATTTTTGTGTCGTTCAACATGAAACATACAATAAGTTTGTTTATATTAATCAGAACCAGAAAACAAAAGCTTCTTAATAAGAATAGGGGGAAAAAGAAATTATTAATGTAAGTTAGCTTAAATGAAAAAAAAAAAATCAATGTCTTTTAAATCGTACACGTGTATTTCAAGATTTATAAATAAACAAAAAAAATTGTTGGGAAAAAAAAATAAAAACAAGATGCTGAAAAAGCTTTTCTCTTCTTTTCTTTTGAATAACACCAGGAGGTAAAGCCTTAATAAATTACAGATGAATGGCTAGCCCGATCCACATGACAATTAAATAAATCCCAATTCAAGAGACTCTAATGATATCACAAAGTGACTCTGCTATAACTCTCATTTCTTCAGCTATGTTTTGAGCATTGCATGCGATCCGATCAGCACACAGCTTTCCTCCATTCGGAACTTGATGTATCTCGCATCTAGGTTAATTGATAATACTAGATACCTAATGATTTTTTTTTTAAAAAAAAAAAAGAAGTTATGAAATGGGAGAATAATTGGATGAATATTAATTGACGTGTGATGGCTTATAGAGATATGTTTGGTGAGAGCAGATCCTTCTGCCTCCCAGAGAAGGTGAAGTGTTATCATTGCAAGATTTTCTAGTCTCTCTGAAAACCTCAACTAACCCTTTGATGATTTGTTGATGCCTCTTATTTTCATATTGACTAGGAGTTGATACGACATTATGTGGGTCCAAAGTAATTATCAACATTGCAGACCCATTACCATTACTCATAATTAATTTCCAATGTCAGACTGTGGTTGTGATAGGACTAAAAGATTAAAATTAAAATTTATGGTACTAATTTCACAACATTAATTACAAATATCTTTTCATATAAAAATATATGACATCAAAAGGACAAGCTACTTTCTCCATTTTCAAATGTAAGCAAAATTTAAACCAACTTATAAAGTTTAAGAAAGTTGTTAATACTAATTTAAAAAAAAAAGTTGCTAATAATTATATCTAAAATTAAAAAGTTTAGATTAAAATACATACCATTGCAATTAATGTTTACTTTTTTCTAATTTAATGATGCTATTCCTTTATGAGGGATAATTTTTTAAAAAATATAATACATATTTCTTGAAATTTGCAATTTTGCTTATAAAAAATATGAAATATATAATAGTTTGTCTTATAATAAAAAATGGAGTGAGCATGTTAATAAAATTTTAAAAGTATAAGTCGGAATTTAATAAAATATCAGCAGTTGTTTATTTTGTATGATTCTTAGCTGTTAAGTTTATCCATTGATGAGTCTTTACATGATCATCTCGGTCTCACTGACTCACACGCACACTTTTTAAGTATGTGATGAGGATGCAGGTGGATATATAGAGTAGTTAGAGTCAAAATTAACAGCATAATATGTCATTCATTGTCTCCCATAATTCAAAGAGTAATTATCTTAAAATCTAATCAGTAGGTTACTGTCCAAAGGGTGATAGGAAGAGTGTGGATTGTGTTGAGAAGACAATAGACGCAGAAATGGCTTCTATCTTTAGCGGGAATCAGAAAGCTGCCAAGTGTGACTAATTAGGACAGAGGCTTCCCCCAGCTGGCTACACCTACACCTATATAGTATACGCATCATAATTAATTAAATTTATAGCTAATGGGGCTGCAGGGGAAGCACTGTGTAGGTTGAATTAATTACAATATTAAAACTAAATATTATTAAAAAAACAAATTAAGGCTCATAAAAAAAGTTAAATTTTAGTTTAAGCTCATATCTTTAAAGATGTTTATTCCCACAAGTCCTTATTTCTACAAGGTACAAGACGGCATCATCACTGGGATCCTTCTAATCCTAAGATCATGAACGGGCCATGTCTCTGCCAAAATTGAGTTTTGATTAGTTGACCTAACCCTACATCTTAACCCGCAAATCTTAAAAAGTATTGAATTTATGGTCCTTTTCTCTTATATACTTTTTTTTTTTTAAATTCAACTCTATCTGGTATGAGATTTTCATTTTTTTTTCAATCACATTGAATTTCTCAACTGTTTCTCCTAATTGTTAGTCGTCACCATACGCTTGTGTCTGTATTGAAAAATGCCTTCCTAAAATCACACAAATATCTGTATGCGTGTTTACATGTTAATAGTGGCTATGCTCTCACATTCACTTATTTTCTTGTCTGTTCCTCTTGTTTCTTCAAGTGAATTTCAGAAATTGAAATTTGAAATAATGAAATTATTATTATTATTATTATTATTATTATTATTATATGACATATAAGGTCAGTGCTTTTTGCCTCGATCATTATGGAGATCCTTGTGCCGTGTCCTACTAAATGGAGGATTAATTTCCTTAATTAAAAGTTATTTAAAGAAATCAAGGGGCCTAAATAATAATACTGTCACGTGCCTTGCTAATTGAGCCATATATATATAAAGCTTGGATTTCAGTTTTAGGTTTGAAATAGGTAAGTTGATGTCCACAATACACAGAAAATAAATCTTGACCTTTTATTTTTTCTTTTTAACTCCTTGGCTTCTCAGGTATATGACCGTGAGCTTTACAACTGCTTTGAACTGATTGATAATTTTGGTTTGATTTGTGCAAGATAATGATCATATACTTTGAAAACTTGAACGACACTTGGAAAAAACTTGATGTTCCTTCTTTAGTGCTTTTTGACTTTTTAGTTCGCAGAGTCACTTGTGGTTGGTGAGAAACAACTTAGAAAGCATTGCTTGTTTCATGTGTAACACGCCATGCTGTCCGTGGATTATTGAAAACCCCAGCATACGCTGAAAATTATTATGCTCAAATATTTGACCAATTTAAATTCTGTTTAATTAATTTATTAATTTTGAAACTTTTTTATTTTTAAAGAAATCAACTTAAAAATAAATATAAAGATTCTAAATTCATCAATTAAATATAGACAATTTAATTAATGGGAGAATGACAAATAAATCCCACCAAAATAAGCAAATGTCAAATAAGTACCACAAAATAGAGTAATTACCTTGAAGCCTGTAGGGATTTTTTTGACATAATTTTTTTTTTGTGGAAATGACAATTCAGACCATCAACAAAATAATAAAAAAAAACAGAATCGTTTTAGTTATGCAGCAGCAATTACGTTTTTTATATTAACAATTTTTAGCTTGGTGATTAGCAACTTCAGATTAGGTACATTAACAACACAGCGGATCATAAATTCACTTTAGTCATGCAATAATAATTGCATTTCTTATATCAACAATTATACCTTTGTTTTTAACAACTTTAATTTAGGTTTTAATAATTATACTTTCTATTATTTTGTAAAGAGTCAGAAATATAATTTCAGAAAAAATTATGATAAATAAGTCTCTAGGAACTTTAAAGTAATTATCTCATTTCATGGTAGTACTATTTTGTCATTTGTCCATTTAGAAAGGGATTTGTTTGTCATTTCTCCTTAATTAATTAAAAGAAAGAACACAGTATTCATTTCTTAATTAGACTATGAGTGCCAAATAGGAAAATAGTGAAGTTGACCTTTTTGGTTAAGGTTAACCCCATAAAAAGGGGGAAAACATATATATCAGAAAAGGCCAAAGTGAGTTGAGGCATCTTTTCATCACCTCCTAGTCACCAAAATCCAATCAAATTAGAAGCATGATTAAGCATGTTTAACAAGAGTATGCAATCCAATTAGCCTTTCCCAAGTATGTTTAAAGGTTGGGACCATAGAATTATGTCCTTAATGAGGTTGTCATTTTCTCTGCTTGCAATTGGCTCCATCAGCTTGACACAGAAAATAGACTGAAGAGATATGATGATTCACCCATCATGTTCAGTGTATTAGATATAAACATGCATTTCCCAATCAGTAAATCCACCATCTGGTATGTTTAGCAGATAATTAATGACTTTAAAAACTAGCACTTTTCCTTTAAAAAAATAATCCTCAAGTATATTTAATATATTTAGTCTTAAAAAGTTAAAAATTTCGTTAAGAAAAAAATTAATTAATCAATTAGTCCTTATACTTCATATTAATTTTTAAATAAGTCCACATAATTTATTTTTTAAAATCAATCCCTATATATCTTGCCATTTAATAGTGTGTTCAGGGTGATAGAGGTATTCCAAAACCAATTTTTGATGGAAGCACATCCTTCTTTGAATGCATGTGACATAACTGCGCGAAAGCATGCAAATAAGGTGTGAAAACATGTGAGAGCTGGC